TGGAGCTCCCGTAAGATAAGTAGGAGTGGATGCTTACACCATCACTTCTAACTCTCGAGAAGGGGTTTGTTTAAAAAAAAAAAAAAAAATTCTCAAGGGGCTGGCTGGGTAGCGAAAAAGGGGGTTGGATTGCCCATATCCGATGGGAGGGTGGACAGTCCCCGGGGCAGGAGCAGGGTGACCTCAGGAGAGACTATTGCATCCGCTTCAAGGAATGGACTAATGTGGACCAAGGAGTGTCGTTGTGCTCACCCGCCGAGTTCCTGGACCCGTTCCCTCTCCATCAACTGTCACTGGTGGATTTGCAATGGTATGTGCAGAATAGGCGCAGCCTGGAGTGCGGTAATGCAGTTTGAAGAGCCTTTGGAGGATTTAGGGGAGCTCTGTGATGCAGACAGATGCGCCTTTTGGAGGGTTTAGGAGTTTTAGTGAAACCCACAGAGATCAACGGTCACAGTTTGCTCTAGAGATACATGCAATAATTGACAGCCACACAACTGAGAGGAGCAACCAGCGACGGATTAGGCATACAAAGCCATACAAAGGACTAGCTACACGCAGGGGTGAGGGGTGGTACATCCTTCCTTTTGGAAGTAATCAATGCCGTCCACTCGGGCCTCCCAACCATAATGGGGAGGAGCGTGGGGTGAGTCAACCTTGTACTTTCCATCGACTTGCCGGGGGAATAGGAACCGGACTGTTGCTCCCCAGAATGGTAGGAGCCAGAACCAAGAGGTTCTGAAAAAAAAATGAAAAAAAAAAGGACTCAGGCTCCGATGGGCCTTCTCAAGCCCTTGCCGATTCCTGAAGGTCCTGGGCAGAGTGTGTCCATGGACTTCATGGATACTCTTGTGACAAGCAGGACAGGCAAGAGACATATCTTCGTTATAGTGGACCGCTTTTCCAAGTATGCAAGACTTGTCACTATGCCGGAGACTGCTAAAACGTACTATATCATCAAATTGTTTTTGGATAATTGGGTTCGGGATTTTGGACTCCCTATGTCAATAGCGAGCGATAGGGACGTAAGATTTACCAGCGAGTTGTGGCAGTCAACAACTGAGCAGATGGGCACCAAGCTACAAATGACGTCAGGGAACCACCCTAAGTCCAATGGCCAGGCAGAACAGATGAACCGAGTAGTACAGCACCTGCTTCAGCATTATATTAAGCCAAGTCAAGATGACTGGGACGAGAAGTTACCTCTCGTCGCCAACTTGTACAACAATGCTGGGCAGAGTGCTACTGGTACGACTCCTAACCAACTGCACCTTGGTTGGAAGCCCAAAACGACACTTGACTTTCTGCTACCAGAAAGACAGCCCACTGCAGCACCTGGCAGCATAGAGTTTGCTGTCAAGTACGACCAGATGCTGCAGCAGGCCGTCGAGCATGTTAGGAAATCTCAGGATGCTATGATTGCATCTGAGAATAAGCATAGACGGCCCTCTAACTTTCAGGTAGGTGATAGAGTCTGGATCAAATCATCTGAACTGGGTCAAGAGCTGGGCATATCTCGTAAACTGATGCCACAGTACGTCGGTCCTTGCGAGGTCCTAGACATAGTCGAGGATCAGATAGACAGACCTTCCTATGTGATTCACATCCCACCTCACTTACGCACACACCCAGTTTTCCATGAATTAAACCAGACACCTTTCGCAGAAACTGAACAGTTTCCTTCCAGACGGTCAATGCTGCTCCCAATCATGGATGGTGAAGTTGACATCGACAGAATTGTGGAGCATCGAGTGATGCCAGTGCCTAAACCGCCGGGCAGAGGCCACCCTCCTAAGCCAAGAATTCGTTACCGTGTCAGATTCAGACATCATCTGGATCCCAGCGAGGATCAGTGGTTCACCAGAGAAGAACTCATGCGAACAGCACCTCAAGTTATTGCAGCCTATGAGAAAACTCAAGGGGAAGATGCCTGCAGATTAGAAGACTTCTCAGAGGACTATCGAAGAAAAGGAGGAGGGAATGCGAGGATCTGGGTCCTCGGCAGGCCTAAGGGGGCCCTGCTGCAGATGTGCCCGCCCTAAGTGAAGGCGGGCCTAACAAATCGCGAGAGGCCCTCAGCTGTCAATTTTGTATTCGGGGTTCAGGAAGTTTCGACACGCCAGTTGGTTGAGGGAAACACAGGCCGAGCAGCAAGACATTCCACGGCCTTCCAGGCCTTTCCAGAACTGCAGGCCCTGGGCGAGAATCGCAGCCTCATACACAGGAAGTTGGGAGGCCCAACCGAACAGAGGCCCAGCAGAAGCATCAGAGGCACAGCCTCCTGGGGCCTACCGGAAGCTTCTGGGCACAGGCCCAGGCCAGCCAGGCCGCCGAGAGAGGCAGGCTCTTTCCATATAGGAAAGAGCTCGCTGCCTGGCCAGGCATTCAGCACTTGCATGCTGGCGCCAGCGCTGCTGGAGCGGATGCTCGTGGGCTGCTGCCGGCGCTGAGAGGCAAGGTGCTAGCGCATGCGGTCGTGCAGGGAGCAGGGCGCTGCTGACGGCAGCGCCATAGCCCAGCCTCCATAGCTGGATGGGCTTGGACTACAGTGAGGCGCAGGGGTGGTCTTCGGGTGTACAGAGGGAAGACGTGGGAGTAAGTCAGGGGAGAGAGAGAAGGATGATGATGATGATGATGTGAGGGCACATACCCGGTATTGGTGATGGTCTGCATTGGGTGACATCTTCAAGTACTTCGTGAGCTGCTGACGTCAACAGTTGCATTGTCAATTAGTAGGCAGACTGTAGCTGTGTAGGAGTAGGTTGGGCGCCGAGCGCCAAGTAGGGAGATAGGGCCTGGACACTCATGTTAGTGGTGGCGAGAGCAAGCTCTCGTTGACATTGGTTTTCCGTGTTACGATTCTTCATTGGTGTTATATTGGTGCATTTCTGCTTTCTGGACACTATGATACTATCTGCCCTTCAATGCGATTGTGCATTCTGGACATTGTCATCTCGCTATTGCTCATTTTCCTTGCACTTGTACACGAGAGCTCATGTGCTTGTGGTCTGTCCGAGTTTCTTCTTCACTCCTGCCATGTGGTATGACAAAGGTTACTACATGAATAGAATAGAATAGGAAGATCGAGACAGGTTGTATATGTGATATGGCCGGGGATATATCCTTACTAGCACTACTGTCTTAACCTGAAAACAAAGTATACACACACGTTGTATACATAGTACATGCAAATAGAACGGACTACAGAGAACCAGAAAACACGAGTAAAGAGCAAACTGAGTTGCAAGCAGAATGACGGCAATCCAAGAACACTCTGAACACCAATGTCTGTTGACAATGAAAGCCTTCTTCAGGCCCCCATGAATCAATACAACAACATAGTAGTAGCCCTATCTCTCATATGTCTGCATATTAAAGCCG